AAACAATATAAATAATAGTTGCCTTAACTTAAACAATAGAAATAATACTTGCCTTAACTTAAACAATAGAAATAATACTTGCCTTAACTTAAACAATAGATATAATACTTGCCTTAACGTAAACAATAGAAATAATACTTGCCTTAACTTAAACGATAAATATAATACTTGCCTTAACTTAAACAATAGAAATAATAGTTGCCTTAACTTAAACAATAGAAATAATACTTGCCTTAACTTAAACAATAGATATAATACTTGCCTTAACTTAAACAATATAAATAATACTTGCCTTAACTTAAACAATATAAATAATAATTGCTTTAACTTAAACAATAGATATAATACTTGTCTTAACTTAAACAATATAGATAATACTTGCCTTAACTTAAACAATAGAAATAATACTTGTCTTAACTTAAACAATAGATATAATACTTGTCTTAACTTAAACAATATAGATAATACTTGCCTTAACTTAAACAATAGAAATAATAGTTGCCTTAACTTAAACAATAGAAATAATACTTGTCTTAACTTAAACAATAGATATAATACTTGCCTTAACTTAAACAATATAAATAATACTTGCCTTAACTTAAATTCTTAAAACAAAAATACTGCATAGAAAGGTTTTGTACAAGTTACGTTTTTGATAGTAGTTTCGTTGTTTTTTACAATAACATTTCCCCCATTTTTAACGTATTCTGTTGCATCAACAAACCCATTAAAAATTAAGCGAGCGAAATTAGTTTTCATATGTTTTGCGAACACGTATACTCTAGTCAATAATCATCCTGTTTAATACCTGGAAAAATGCTTTGGTCAGTATGGTGGTCAGTACCATAGCTTTAAGTCCAATTTTTGTGATAGAGTGAAATAAGAGCCAACTAATTAAATTCATGTCAAATTCAGTTCTGACTAAAATTCTGGAACTGATTTTAATGTTTCTGAAATCGTATTTCATAACTCTGCGAAGAGGTTCTGTGTTTGATTGTTGTTAAACGCAAAGTCATAAAACGAGCTCTTTGTGCTGTGCCCATCGTGGGTATGGAAACCCGATTTTTAGGAATGTAAGCTCTTAGAACAACTTTAAAACCACTTTTGGTTTCAAGTAGCCTGCAACCTAGGAATATTGAACTTAGTTATCATCAGTTTAAACTATCTTTTTATTAGCTTGTGGGGCCTTACTGACCATGAAGGTGACCTCTTCGAATTGCTGACCTGACGTTCACATGAGAAAACAGAGCAATCGTTGACCTTAGCTAGTTTCTGATTGGTGCAACTAGAAAACGTGACGCTTTGTAATATCTATGCAAACAACGCCAATCTAGGTTTGAAAAGCTCTCTCTCCGTCAATAGATGTTGCATTGATCGAGAAGCCAGAGAGAGGGGGCAGAACTAACAGAAAACTTCTATGTTATGTACAATATAATCATATACTAATCGATGTTAAAAGTCACAGGCGTAATTCCGTAATGAAGAAATATTTCAACACTTCCCATTCTCCAATATTCCACTTTTACCCACGTAAAGATAAGTGCCCTCTAAAAGGACTGAAACCTCAAAGGATCTCAAAACATTTTCTCAGCTTTGGAGTTATTGTCAGTGATTCTGTAATTGATCAGTCATGTTTCAGTTTTCTAATTACTCACATGCTTTATAAATCCTTCGAGTCTCCTGTTATTGTGAAGATAACTTAATACAGCACCTTCTGAAGTCACACAGAAGCGACAGTCACCTGAAAGAAACAAACAGTTCTGTGATATTAAATCTGAGACTATGATTTCCTTCTCTTGTGGAAGAGCATTTTAATACACCGAATAACCTTTAAAATCTTGAGAATTTCGTCTAACAAATTATTTTGTTGTAGGTGTTAGGTCCGTTAAAAGGCTTGCACATATTGTGTTCTGAGGACTTTCTTTTTTTTTAACAGTTATTATGACAATAAAGGCGATGTTGACGAGTTACCTAACCCAATTAGGAAGTGACCCCACGTCACATTATGACACACCCTTCGCTACGCATGTCACATCAAACTATTCAAAGGAGTCCCCAAAATCAGGCCAAGGGCTTCTCATGATACAATAAGAAAAATCCTTCAGAAATTGTCTCAGTGTTGCGTCTCTTCCATATAGGGGGCGTCACGGTCATAACTCGTCCCTCATCGCCTTAACAGTATAGATGATTAATGTATCAGCAACATTTCATTTCTGACAGATCAAAACACCACATTCTCCCTTCCAACAAGCTGGTATATTTAAAGGTGTTTTTTTTTTGTCTCTCTACATTAACTCATCTCTAACGTATTTAGATATTACTTACATTCGGCCATCTGCTGGTAGCTGGAATTGGTCTCTGATTGAAGAGGTATCTTTGAATATGTGTCTGTTTTATTTCTTTGTTTTCAGTTGTATTTCGCGAGGACTTATTAAACATTCCCGTCAGTTAACATGGACTTATTGAACACATCCGTTGCTAGGCAATGCTGTGTGGGGGAGAAATATTGAATCTTTATATGGAATGTGTTTTTACGCGAAACGGTGTTTAACTATCATTAACTTGTAATCAGAGCAAGTTACTTACACAGACAAAAACCAAAAATTACCCTCGTAATGAACATAGCTAGTTATAATCATTACAAATTTAACTTACAGTTTAAGTTTGAAATGTTTACTTAACATTTTGTTTTTTCCTAGAGGGCGGTCCTTTAGACTAGCACACTTTTGCTGACCACTAGAGGTCCAGTGCAACACCTCTTCACTAACGTAATTTGTTCGGTCAAAATCCGTAAATATTTTACAAATATTTTGCTACTACATGAAATGAACAAAAGGAAATATATAATTACTTAAAAATATATATATACCACTTTATTCAAAAGATTCCTTAGGGTACGAGAATATATATATATAATATAAACATTTCAGTTTTGCTCTTTAAATGCCGCAAATGAAAATTCAACTGAACGAGAAGGTCGGTAGCAAAATTGGTGCAGCAGACGCTGAACAAAAAAGTGATTACCAATGCCGCACGGCATGGCACTGGTACCCTTTCTTCGGACGCACAGCTCATGTACTACGGCTCAAAATAGTGGAAGGGGCGGCCCACAACCCCATTTTCTACATTATTTTAAAACTCGACATTGCAGGGTACCTTTGTTAGTATATGGGATTCTTTTTTTTTTTTAATTAATAATAAATTTTAATAGTTCCTTCGAAAATATTCCTGCGTCTACATTGTCATGGTAGGATAATTTCCACAAAACATGAGAGCAGCAACTGTGGTGCCAGTTTTGTGATTCCAAGGCGACGTACTTTGTTTTCATTTCTCAAACGGACTAGTAAAAGTTGAAAACCTGCTACATCGTGTAGTTTGTTTTATTAAGGACAAAGCTACACAATGAACTATCCGCGCTGTTCCCACCACGAGTATCGAAACCCGGTTTCTAACGTTGTAAGTTCGCAAACATACCACTGTGCAACTGAGGGGGAGAGGGTCAGTTTGTTTTTATCACAACGGAGTGTACACGGGCGAGCTTGACCAATTACGAGATGGTCATTGACCATGGGCTGGGCAAAACTTGTAAGCTGTGTAAAAATAACCGGTGAAAATATTGTAAATTTCGACAAGAATGAGCTTTTCAAGGTCTTTTCTTCAAATTTAATCCAGATGTTACTCTCGTTAGTGTATACGATGAGCTCGTTAAAAATAACTGACTTAGTAGAACAAAAAAAAAGGCAAAAAAAGAAAGAAGTGAAAGCAGGACATAAAACATCAAAAATAAAAAACAGGATTTCCAAGAACGAGCGTTTGTGTTTGAGTGAATTTCTGACTGAAATAGACATTACTAGCCTCAACAGCTGGGTGATTAAATAACCCAATAATAGATCGTTCGCTAATAATGGCTGTAGGGGGGAACTGTTCCCCGACAATTTGTTTTTTAATTAGGCTCAAAGATGCTTAAATTAAGCAGGTTTTAGGAATTAAACGTTACATATTCTGTTTCAGTTTTGCGAAAGATAGAAATGAAGAATTGATTTTAATTTTAAATATTATGTTTAACTCGACAGTGTGTAACCATAATCAGGTGTTTGTGTTTAAGGCCGGCACAGTAAAGAGCAAATAAGTAAACCAGGCCACGCCTATTATCCACTATTAGAACGATTCTTAGTAAAAAATGCAGAAACACATAGTTCAGTAGAAGGCCCGAAAGGAAAGCGCATGTATTAAGGTTCTTTGCTGCCTTAAGATAAGTCTCTGTTTAAGTTAATGTTTTGAACTACAGTTTCTATCGTGATATGTTAGCTGTTAAACGACTCTTGCTTACCTTCCTGGCGCTACGTACTAACATACTATGTCACGTGATACAAAGTTTTGAGTATCGTGAGTTATTGCAAAAATAAACATTTGAGTTTATTGCTTGTTTTAGGCCTAAGCTACACACTGAGCTATCTGCGCTCTGTACACCGCGGGGAATCGTACCGCGAATATTAGCATTTTAAACCTGGTTACGAAATATTAAACAAAATTCCCCTAAAATGTTGGTTCAGGGATATTAGTTGCTGTTTTGTGAATCTATGATCTATATTCTGAACACAACTCATCCACACACCTAGTTTAAAAACATAATCCAGCAAATTAGTGTAGTTAGTGTCAGCTCTGAATCAATGAGGGTTTCTACTTGGGAAATAATAACATTTGTGCGCTTCCAGATTAAACTTTGTGACACAGAGTTTTTTGACACGTGTTTAATGTACTTTTAATAAGCTCATAATAAGGAATGATATCACTTTCTAGGAACGGTGTCATTAACACTAATTAAGTGTGTTTTCAAGGCCACAGACCAATGAAAATTGCGCATGTTGCTGGATCTTGGAAGGTCAAAATGCCCCTGAAAGATAAACTGTGATGCACTTTCCGATTTAGTCGATAAACAAAGGTTGTGTAAATGAGGTCTCAGTTTGTGAGTTGTAAAGATATCGTTATTTTTATAAAACTGCCAAGTCAAGAAGACCACAGCAGCAAAATCCTTGCACGAACTGACTTTCTGAATACACCCACGTGTCAAACGAGTCTGAAAGTTTCAGATTTTTATTAGAGTACAGCGTCAGCAGTTATCGGGGTGTTTACTCAACAATGTGCGAATTATATTTAAATATAGTGTTAATAAATATAGTGTTAATAAATATAGTGTTAATCTAGTATGATTCAAAGTGTTATTTCTTTACTATCGGAAGTATATTCATGCTCAACACTTAAAATAACGAGCAAGTGGACCTGATATAGCTGTGAGGGCGTTCATATGTGACGGTAAATCCCACAAATTCGTTGCTAAAGAGTAGCCCAAGAGTTGGCGGTAGGTGATGTTGACAAGCTGCTTTCGCTGTAGTCTATCCCTTCAAAATCAAGGACAATTAGTGCAGATAGCACGAGTAGCTTTGTACGAAAATTCATCAAACGAATAAACTACTTTGCCATCTGGCGATAAAAAAAGAAAATTGCATTTTAATTGGGGGACACTCTAGAGTCTAGACATAAGGTGAAAAAGTTCAAACGACTCACAACGGATTTTTTTTTTATGAAAGTAAAGTCTAAACAAAATTCACTATACTGTAATGAGCTGTTTTTGGGTGGAAACAGGAATGTTTTCTTTTAAAGTTTACTAATATCTTATAGCTATAAATAAGACTTTTCACTCTGCCGTGTTTCTGTTTCAAATATTTCAATAAAATAATGCGCATAACCATAATTGTCCTTTTAAATATGCTTAGTGCACGTGCCCCTTGGCGCCCAACCGCTTTTTTTTTTAACCAAATCTGCTTTTTTTGTTTAAAATGGTTTTCAGATTTAATTTTTAATAGCATTACTTGCTGAACCATAATAATTTTACAAAATTTTGGAGAAAAAATAATGGTTCAAAAATGAATCATTTCAAATATTTGTTTTTTGAACAGTAGCGAACTATTCAACAGTCTTTGCCATTTGATGTTTATAAGGATGGATAAGCGGCTAGTTTGAATGTTTATACGCTAAAAATCGGGGTTCGATACCTTTGTGGGCACAGTGTAGCAAAAAACTGTAGTGTTGTTTGTTTTTTTAAAGTCATTTGCGAAAGATCCACACGTTCAAAAATTTTATTTAAAAGTCGTATGCAATCAGGTATGTCACGCCATCTATTGATCCATATATAAGCAGAATACGAATGATTTGACGCATGAATGGCCAAAAGACAAACTTAGATAATAGCATCATATATTATATCTTCTCGTCATTGAGTTATATACAGCTTATTCTCAATGTAAATCAATTTGTCTCCTGCTCACGTTGATATTTACGCCACCTGTTGTTTGCTGGATCAGAATAACTTTACAAAGTTTTTAATTATTTAACACATAATTATCTTTAGGGTCCTAGCTAACCTTCCTGTAGCCGAACCAGACATTGCACATTTTCAGCATAACTGCGAACCTTGTCTGTACCCTGGTTCGAATCGTGGTCGGTCTCTGTTTTCATCATCCACAAAACATTTTATAAATACTTGAAAGTGACACAATAAAAGTTTCAAAAGTTTCAAAAACATTTGGAGCTTCTTTCGTAATCTTGAAAGTGGCCACCAGGGGAAGTGGCCTCCTATAGGATCAATGTAAAGCACAGTTCACTTTGTTAAACACGTAGTTCACAATACTAAAATGACGGTACGTTGTGTCTCACGGTGGGCCAGCAGTAAGGTTATGGACTTCAACATTATAATCCGGGGTTCGCTTCTCCGCAATTGACAGAGCAGGAATATTACAATCGTAGCTTTTGGCTAAACAAAAAAAAAAAAAAAAAAATTAAAAAAATCAAATTACTAAACAATCAAGTACACTGTAGTAAAATGAAGCTTCACTGAAATGACAATGTAACGAAAAAACGTTGTATTATAGTAATACTGTAGTGAAATAACATTGTATTATAGTGATACTGTAGTGAAATAACGTTGTATTATAGTGACGCTGTACTGAAATAAAGTTGTATTATAGTGACACTGTACTGAAATAAAGTTGTATTATAGGGATACTGTAGTGAAATAACGTGGTGTTATAGTGATACTGTAGTGAAATAACGTTGTATTATAGTGACGCTGTACTGAAATAAAGTTGTATTATAGTGACACTGTACTGAAATAACGTTGTAATATAGTGATACTGTAGTGAAATAACGTGGTATTATAGTGATACTGTAGTGAAATAACGTGGTATTATAGTGATACTGTAGTGAAAAACGTTGTATTATAGTGACGCTGTACTGAAATAAAGTCGTATTATAGTGATACTGTAGTGAAATAACGTGGTATTATAGTGATACTGTAGTGAAATAACGTTGTATTATAGTGATACTGTACTGAAATAAAGTTGTATTATAGTGACGCTGTACTGAAATAAAGTTGTATTATAGTGATACTGTAGTGAAATAAAGTTGTAATATAGTGATACTGTAGTGAAATAACGTTGTATTATAGTGACGCTGTACTGAAATAAAGTTGTATTATAGTGATACTGTACTGAAATAAAGTTGTATTATAGTGACACTATAGTGAAATAACGTTGTATTATAGTGACACTGTACTGAAATAATGTTGTATTATAGTGACACTGTAGTGAAATAACGTTATATTATAGTGACACTGTAGTGAAATAACGTTGTAATATAGTGATACTGTATTGAAATAACTTTGTATTATAGTGATACTGTAGTGAAATAACGTTGCAATATAGTGATACTGTACTGAAATAAAGTTGTATTATAGTGACACTGTAGTGAAATAACGTTGTATTATAGTGACACTGTATTGAAATAACTTTGTATTATAGTGATACTGTAGTGAAATAACGTTGTATTATAGTGACACTGTATTGAAATAACTTTGTATTATAGTGATACTGTAGTGAAATAACATTGTATTAT